TACATGACCCTCTGTGGTGGAAAAGCAACCACATACATCAAGGAAATCTGGAGTCTCTTGAGTGACTCGTAAGTACATGACCATTTCCTCTTGTAGTGGTCCTGATATGGCTACACTACTGATAGCTGAGGGGAATCCCTGCTTGGGTGTTACCCGTCCGATAGCTAGCACAGCAGTCATTTGCAAGAAGTAGTCCAATAACACAGGGTGAATAAAATAGTCATGAAGGTGTTTTATAAGTTCACCAGGGACTTGAATTGCTGTCACAGCTTCCTTGAATTCATCTCCAAAATGCACATCATCAAGCTGTTTGAAGACAGAGCCATATTCAAATCCTGCCTGAGAAAGAATTGAATAAATCTCTTTTGTCTTCATAACCAATTTGCACCTTCGGGAAATTGTGTCAAGACAAATGCTCGGTTCTTCTAACAGTGGTTGGCCATCCATACACCTGTATGTGCCGGAGGTATGTGTTGCGACAGAAGACTGTATTTTAAATGAAGCCTCATTCTCTGCATGTTTCAGTGTCACTTTCAACTGATGACAGTTTGAGCTTAGGGTTAACAGACTCTCAAATCTAACACTGATTTGGAGCAGAGAAACAGGTTTCTTTGGCCTTAAACTTGCTATTACTGCAGCATAAGCAAGTTCTACATAGAACGCACCTGGCACAATGGGAACACCATTGTTTTTATGCTCCCAAAGATATGGTGCAGTCTCTAATGAGAGGTTGCACGTGTACTCTTTGTTACCCTGCTTTATTTGGGATATGAGTGGATGAGGAGAAAAAGCAAATGTAGAGGATTCATCTTCTCTCACAGCTTCAAAATGCAATTCTTTCTTTGTGTTGCTAAACTGATAGACTGGAAGAGCTGTTGGCAATGTCTCACAACCCCTGTAGAGCTGATGCCAGTCCACACTGATGCCCAGTTCAAATAGTTTTGCCACGGTAGACAAGATTGTGTCACAATCTCTCCCTGGCTGGACAGAGGACAGAACTATGGCATTATTTCCCAAAGTCTCATGTATGTTCCTTTGAAGAGCCCTACGAGGTCCAATCTCGACAAAGACCAAATTTCTCTTTGATTGTTTGTCTTTGGTGGCAGCACGCAGTGTTTGTTCAAATAAAACAGGCTCTCGAATATTCCTTGCCCAGTACCTGCCAGTTCTAAAGTCACCATCTGAATAACTGCCTCCAGTCACCGTTGACAAAAGTTTGCACTCCTCATTGTTTGGAGCCAAAGCATCAATACTTTTCTCAATGTCATCCAGAATAGGATCCATCATATGGCTATGATATGCTACTGGCACATCTAACTCATGGAGAAAGAGATTTTTATCTGAAAATGCAATCTTCAACCTCTGGTGGAGGGTGTCTATAGCATCTGCATCCCCTGACAAAGTGCAAGACTGGGGACTGTTGAATGCTGCGATACAAATTTTTCCAGAAAAGACTGGAAGGATTTTAAATACCTTTTCGACAGCCACATTACTAACAACAAGCATTTTCCCTCCCGTGACCTTGCTCTGAAGAGTACTGCGGTGGTGCAGCACTTTAACAGCATCCTCAAGAGACAAGACACCAGAACAGTGAGCAGCAGCAACCTCACCAACAGAGTGTCCAATCACAGCATCAGGTTTGACACCCCAATGCTTTAGGAGAGCCACAATGCCAACCTGAATTGCAAAAAGAAGAGGCTGGACAACATGTGGCTTGCTGAAATCATCATTATAATTCTCACCAGCAAGCCATTGACTAATGCCAATGCTTTTATGACTCTGGAAGAGATTCTCAACTTCTCTGACCTTATCTCGGAAAACAGGAACCTCTTCCAGGAGTTGCTTGCACATACCTCTGTAGGCAACCCCATTTCCACAAAATACAAAGACCACTTGGATGTCAGACCTTATTGACTCAAACTTTGTTTTCAATGCGGACGTCAGCTGAAGTTTTAAATTGGAGAGACAAGATGTTGGGAAGGCCTTTCTATATTTGTGTCTAGAATGACTCCTTCCACATGCTGAAGTATATGACAGTGCCTGTAAATCAACTGTTTGATTGCTGCAAAGCCTCTGGTGGGTATCAGAGATGGACAGGATAAATGATTTCTCAGAGGCTGCAGATATTACAAAGAGTTTTGGACAGCCTTTTGGGATCTGTGTTGGAATGTTGGTCTGTCTGTGCTGTCTTACAATCGCATGTGCATTTGTGCCTCCAAACCCAAAGCTGTTGATCCCGGCTACCCTTTCTAATGACCCATCTATCTCCCATCTTTCAGCTTTAATTGGAATACTTATACTCAGAGCTTTTACATCTACACTGGCACTGTCTTCTGAGTAGAAAACTGAGGGAACAATGGTCTCATGCTTCATCATTAAGAGTACCTTAATGAGTCCCGCCACTCCAGCTGCAGATTCTGTATGTCCAATGTTGCCTTTCACAGAGCCAATCTGCAGCGTAGCTGAACCAGGAGGTCTGGCTTTAGCAATGACGTTTGAGATGCTTCCTGCCTCTGTTGGGTCTCCAACTGGGGTTCCAGTCCCATGTGCCTCAATGTATTGGACATTTGCAAGGTCAGACTCTGAGTAGATTCTGCGCAGGAGTTCCTCTTGTTGTGTCATGGAGGGTTTGGTGATTGGTGTGACTGAGTGTCCATCTTGGTTGACAGCTGTTTTGCTGATGATACCCCATATCTTGTTGCAGTTCTTTATGGCCTTTGTATAGAAAGTCACACCATTAGCAGGCTATCTACTCTCCTGTATGTAATTTATTAATGACATTAAATGACTGTAAAAAATAAACACAATACTTACTTTTTTAAGAGGCTTCAGGAGAACTACACCGCAGCCCTCCCCTCTACCATAGCCATCTGCCCTGCCGGAGAAAGGTTTGCTGGTCCCCTCAGGTGAGATCATCTTTGCCTTGCTGAGAGCAACAAACACTCTTGGCTCTATTATACCGCTGACACCTCCACACAAAGCCATCTCACAATCACCTAGAAATGAAGTAAAATGAAAGATGGACATTTAAATGTGATGCATATAGTAGCTGGATTTTAGGCGTGGCATTTGTAGGGAAAACAGAACCAAATACCTTGCTTTATAGCCTGGCAGGCTAAATGTAGAGCCACCAAAGATGAAGAACAGGCACTGTCAATGGCCAAAGAAGGGCCAGTGAGATTAAAGGTGAAGGAAATTCTATTGGCAGCCACACTCATGGCGGTCCCAGTGCCATTGTAGTGGGTTATTGTAGTAGAACTGTTACGTTGGAGCATCTCATAATCCCTGTTCATTAGACCTGCAACACCAATACAAAGACAGTGTTACAATTTGTATAGCATAAAATTGAGTTTTAAATATAGATATAGATAGATCAAAGGTGTTCACCAATGTAAACGCCTGTTCTGCTTCCACTGATGCTTTCCATAGCCATTCCTGCATCTTCTAATGCCCTGTATGTACACTGCAGAAGGAGTTTCTGCTGAGGGTCCATGAAATCAGCCTCTGCTTCAGTAATGCCAAAAAACTTGTGATCAAACTCATTAAACCTAAAATATGAAAATAGCAGATCCATCATGAGTCAAACATCTCTCAATAGAACGATTAACCCTTAATATTAGTCTAAACAGATAATGCTTACCCTTCTATAAGAGCTGCTCTGGTTGTCTGTGTTTTTCCGGGTTTGCTGTAATCAGCATCATACCAAAAAGTGGTGTCAAACCTCTCCGCCGGAATATCCACAACACAGTTCTTTCCCTCCAACAGAACCCTCCAGAAATTGTCCAACCCCTCACCTAAAATAAAATGGACCATAATACATATATATATATCATTTATCTTAACAAACGTTGACTCACAGAAATTCTAAATACTTGCAACAGAGTCATAATTCAGTCATACCTCCAGGAAAATTGGCTCCAATCCCAATAACTGCTATGTCATCCTCTGCATCCTCCATTGTCCCTTTTGAGGTGGTAGTGAATTTGCTCTGGTGACCTGGTTGTTTTATTCTAAAAGCCAAAGTGAAATTTCAAGCCTCCCCATAGTGAAGCTTAATGTTCAGTCCTGCTTGCAGTCTTTGGTCACAACTAATGCATCTGTACCTCCAGGTCTTTATAAGCACTGTGCCAGGCATCAGTGACAAGGGGCAGGAGGACACGACAATGCCTTGGTTTGTTACATCTCAGTTGGCTTCACTTGGAACTAAATACACTAATTGTAAGTTAAGAGGTAGCAGTAAATAAGCTTTTGTTCTTGTTTGCCGGTTGACAAAAGGATACACACAAGAGTCTGATTATCACTGGCAGATCAGTCCTCCATAGATGTGACTAAACATAACATCATTATAGTGAATATATGAAATATGGTTAAGCAGGTGTTTAAAGAGATAAAGACATTTAAGACACAACTATGCTTGATAAAAGAAACCATAGAAAGTAGTGGGATGCCCACAGAATCTGCAAATTGATGCATTGTAGTAATTTTGGTAAACAATTATCTACCAGTAATTGATCTTATACATACAAATAAATGAGAATGTGTACAGTTGAAGCTGGGAGCGCTATAGTCTTTAAGCCAGGCCTAACTGTTTTGATTTTAAGGCCTGCAACCTTACTGTTCATTCTCGACTCATTCTCAACCTTGTTAGTTAAAAGCTCTGATAAACCCACTGTAACCAGTATCTGTACAGCACCAACAGCAGAGTGACAGTCATCAACTAGCTGGTGAACACAGTGGAACATCTAGCAGCTAACTCAGGAGTTAACAAAGACCAATAAGAATAAGTCAACAGGATATGTTGACTTATTCAGGCAGCCAAAAAACACAACTCCTAATGTTCCTGTGTCTGATGGATGTGTAAATAAGGAACTGTTTGCTGACACATATCAGCTTCACATGGTATCACTACAGGCTACAGCTTGGTGCGCTGCCCCCAAGTGGCTAGAAAAATCAACTGCTGCAAGCTTATGTTTCATTTGAGTCACGCACTGAACAACACATTCATGGGTAAGAGTAACCTTTATTTGAGCTTCAGAGTGGCCTTTGTCTAAAGGATCAAACAGAAGCACAAAGCAATCCTTTTACACACCTACAGTATATACATTTCCCCTCACTTATCAGTTACAGGTGAGCTTAGAATGGGGCAAAAGGGCCTCTCACTAATTTCAAAAAAAGACCTTTGGGCACTTAAATAAATAAGAACACACAAAATAGATAGCATATGGTAGATGCAACAGAAAGATATCATTTAGAGAAAAAAACCTCTAATATGATAGTTCAACAATGAACTGTGGTATCGTCTGTACCTTGCTACAGCCAGATGGTACATTCTAGATTGAGGTACTTTAAGGTTCTATGGTGTTCATCAGTCTGTAAAAATTGAAAATGAGACAGACGCATAAATTAAACCACCTCGCCTTAATTAACCATGATCTTTGTCAAATTCATTTGCTTTAAAACCTTGTTATCATTCCAAATATGACTCTGATGTATAAAACTACTACAGAAGTCATTTCTCTGAGAGTAGAAGACCACAAGCCCCTGATGAAATCACACACATCTTTGTGTATTGTAGTAGACAAACTTGAGAAGCAAATTTTGTTTTTTTGAATTCAATTAAACTGTGAAGTGCTTTGAAACGGCTGTGAAAGAAGTCTAAGAGTCTTCTCTATAGAAAGTGAAAGACAAATTTGAAAATTAATGAAATAAAAATGTATATAAGGGTTGAAACTGATTGATTTGAGTGATATCTTCACATTGATAATAAGAGGAACACAAACAAATGAAATACAAGGCCTCCAAAAGGCCTGTGCACAGTTGCACAGCTTCATATATACATGATACAAGAGTTTAAAATATCTATTGAGGTATCTGGTGGTCCAGTGATTTGCCCTCCAACACCATCTTGATCTCTTTGGCATCCAGAGTTTCGTATCTTAGCAGGGCATCAGCGAGCGTCTTGTGCTCCTTACTGTACGTCTTCAGGAGGTTTTTAGCACGTTCATATGAGTCCTGGATGAGAGAGGAAGATCAATGAATTAGAAATAGATACAGAAAGAGGTGTAACACATTTATCTGTATCCATATATATTGAAATTAGGCACAGTCAATTTGAGAGCTGCGGGAAAGCTCACCTTCAGTAAAACCCTGACTTCCTGTTCGATGGCAGCTTGTGTCTCGGGGCTCTGCTTGGTTACATCACCGTAGGTCATGACACCGAGCTGCAACAAAACACAAATTACATCCTTAGGTTGAATGAACAATAGACCTTCTTATGCATTGGTCACTTGTCCTTACTGAAGTTAGAAACTGGGTAATTTTCTAACTTCAATGAAAGAAGCAAAGTACACTTATAAGAATGTGCTTACGTGCACAGGAGTGTTATTATGTATGCATTCAGAACTAACATTTAACTTTACATTTACACTTGGCTTTGTGCAAACTATTTGTTGTGTAAACTGTAAATAAAAAAGGTCCCTCCCTGCAGCAGTGTATACAGAAAAAGAAGCCCAGGAACAGCACTGTTTAGAGATCAAACAATGTCTTCTATGTTGACTCATCAATCACACAAATTAAAATTTTACCTTGTCACTCATGCCGAACCTGGTCACCATCATTTTTGCTATTTTGGTTGCTCCATCAAAGTCGCTGGAGGCTCCTAAAATGCACAATAGCAGAAGAAGATTTAAACTAATGCTGTATTACAAACAACCAAAGTTGTAAACAAAGACTTTGTTGCATACCAGGAAATGTATTAATTGATCAAAAATGTATTGATAAGTATGTATTTATAATAAGGATTCCAATCTGTCAACATTCCTTTAAATGTTATGGTTGTACAATGTGGAGGAAAAGTACATATTTAACAGCATTTCTGGGTCTGAAATGACACCCAAGCATCAAGTTATTCAAGTTGTCTTATTCCCGCACCAGTGGTGATGTGGTCATCTCCAAAGATGAGCTCCTCTGCTACGCGACCGCCCATGCTGACATCCATCTGAGCCAGCAACTGGGCTCTTGTCTCGCTCCAACGGTCATTCTCTGGGAGCATCGACACCTAGACGACAGAGAGCAGGACAATACGGATTAGCTTTAGGTTTAGTTTTAACAGGAAGTGACACAAGCGGTGCTGGTAAGGACACTCACATGGCCAAGAGTTGGGCCTCTGGGCATGATAGTGGCCTTATTGATAGGCATCGCATCTTTGGTGAAATAGGCAACAATGGCATGGCCGGACTCATGGTAGGCTGTGATGGTCTTGTTCTTCTTGTCGATTTCAACACTCTTCCTCTCAGGGCCTGGTACGAAACGGACAAAATGAAAAGGATTTTAAGTGATTAAAACGGCCACTTGTGTTATCTCGTTAACATTCTTCCCTTCTCCTAACTGCTGTGTGTAATCTAAGTAATCCACATCATGTGATGTGTCTGAACACTGCGTGTACTCACCCATGAGGATTTTGTCCTTAGCGAATTCTAGATCCTTCAGTGTGACCATCTCTTTCTCGTCCACGGCTGCCTTCAGGGCTGCCTGGTTGACCAGGTTCTCCAGCTCTGCCCCAGTAAAACCGACTGTCCCCCGGGCAATAATCTCCGCATCCACAGCTGCCAAAGACAATAGAAAATACCTTCTTTATAAAAGGTGATCAGTGTTCAAGAGACAATGGGGTCCTTTACTGGAATGGAAAACACAAGTATTCTCACAGGTCTACACCCCTGAATCCTTTAAAATGGTTTCACCTGCTAAGAAGAGCTAGTGTTTCTTTAAAATGTGCAGGATCTTCTAACTAATATCGCATAAGTTGTCAATTAGAACGCATTTCTGACATGCTAACAAAAATAAAAGCACAATAAGAATGACAGTTAAGGGTGCAGTAAGACACGTTTTGTGAGATATTACTTAAATTAATGAATTATAAATAAATATTTTACACTGAAACCTACCAGGGTCTACTTTGATCTTGGAGAGGTACCAGTTGAGAATTTCAGTGCGTCCTTTCACGTCGGGGCGAGGGACCGTCACCTGCATGTCAAACCTTCCTGGCCTTATCAGAGCACTGAAAAGTAGTGAAGTAGTATCAATTAACATTCATAGTACACAGATTCTTAATTTTCCAATTACTTAATTAACTTCACTGCTGTAAAACCCAAATGTCATGCAAAATTGCAGGTGTTATATTTGTTTCTGTGCTTGAAGTGTTAGTTTGCAAGGCACTGAGAAAATGTGACACAGTTATAGTATTATATACATATATATTTATCAAATAAGTTGAGTTTTGAAGAGTGTGAAGTATGTTTTCAGATACTCAGATTAAGTGTTGGGTTGACACGGTCATAATTGGAGATGTTTCCATTGCACATTTTAATTAGATTCCCATGAAAATGTGTAAACAAATATTACTGTGTGACTTTCAGTTATTGTCTTAGTGTGGCTGATTATTAACAGGTCAGTGGTTAATGTATATTCTGAGTGTTTGTTTTTTCCTTGTGTGTACATGAAATGGTTAAAATACAGACAGTGTTATACAGAAACTAGGACAAGGCCACAGGCATCTGTCAGAGGACAAAGGTTACAGAGTGGACAGTTTTATGTTGCTGAACTATAAATACACATTGCATGGTTTGAGGTTGAGAGAGCTGGTCATTCAGTAATAGCTAATTCTACTGAAATAAGCCAATTAAAGATTTTGTGTGTGTGAAATGTAAACATACTTATCCAACGCCTCTGCAAAGTTTGTAGCACCAATAACGATGACGCCTTCATTTGGTTTAAACCTGTAAAAGAGCAAAACATTCAGAACAGGAAGTGAAAGTTCTTCACTTTTCAGTTTTAAAAATGTCAAAGCCAGACAACTGACCCGTCCATTTCAGCCAGCAGCTGGTTGATTGTTTGTCTTGAATAGGGATGCATAGGAGACTCAATCCTCTTTCCACCAACGCTGTCCAACTCATCAATGAAGATGACACAGGGAGCATTAGCTTTTGCCTCTTCTGAAAACCACAAAAAGAAAGAAAAGAGATTGTAGTGGTTTGGATGCATCCTCAACTGGTTACTCACATTTTCTCACAGCCGGTAAACTTACTGAAAAGGTTTCTAATTCGGCTCGCACCAACACCCACAAACATCTCGTCAAACTCTGACCCGGAGGCGTAGTAGAAAGGCACATCGGCTTCCCCGGCCACAGCCCGTGCTAACAGAGTCTTTCCTGTGCCTGGTGGACCGACAAGGAGGATCCCTGAGAGAATAACAGAGGAAACTAATTAGGATAAAATAACAGCATATTAAGACTGCTAGCCAAATTTTTGCATTCGGTTATTTTCCTTGGAAAATTAAAACAGAGGAAATGGAACATGGAGAAAATATTAAACACAATACCTTTAGGCAGCTTTCCACCCAGGACAGTAAACTTCTGGGGATTCTTGAGGAACTCGACAACATCTTGTAATTCATTCTTTGCCTCCTCCACTCCTTTGACGTGCTCGAATGTCACATTCTTCATCTGGATGGGGTCGACTGCTGAGTCAAGACCAGATGTGGTGCGGAACCTCACTGTGAAAGTCCATAACAACTGCGGTTTAGTACAGTAAGGCTATAAAAAACATCTTTACAGTGTCTCATAACGACAGTCAATATAACTGCTGGTTACAATATGCTCACTCCAGCACATATGTAAAGTATAAGATCCAAATGTATGCTGCTTTTCCACACTTATCACTTCCAACTATTCAAATAGTTCCAGCACACTGGTATGAAAACATACATAGTTGATATAGATATTTAAGTAGTACTACACAGTGCTACGCATTAGACTAACCAGTCAATCTCTACGTGCACACCACAACAGACATATCATGTCTTAAGCTGACAATAGGTTGAAGTAAATCCTTGGGCACACTAACAAGCTTTATTTGTAATGTGCATGTGGGGTTGTGGGTTGATGTGCAAGCATAGGAAAGAATAAAAACTGAAACAAACCAGCATCAGAAAAGGAGCCTTTACCCGAGAAAAACGGGGTTCTTGACAAGCCATAAATACCAACAAGCAGGAGGACCATCAGGAACAACCTGGTTCTCCTCAGCGAATCTGTCAAAACAGAGCAGAGACAAAGGCCTGTATGTCAGTCACAGGATCTCTCTGTGTTTTACTGCCACCCAAAGAAACCCTGATGCAACTGTGCCACTGACTACAAGGAGATCCTTTGAATATATTTCTGTCTAAATGATAAATGATAAATGCATGCCTTGTGTTCTCTGAGTGAAGGCCTGAGACCTCATGAATCCCTCAGTGAAACCCGTTTTGAAAGCCTCCTGCTGGTTATCTGGAAGGTTCTTTTGTTTCAGCAGTTGGTCCAGTGACTGCGCCTCTGGTCCCTTTTCCCTCTGAAGAAATCCCTGTCACGGAAACAGCAGGGGAGTTGGTCGGTTAGCTTCAAAATTCAGCCCTTTTCACTTCTTTATCCACGCCCTAAATATTAAATAATGACTCTAGGTCTCATGTGTACATTTATAAATACAACCCACTATTCCTTTCCATTAGACACAATGTTAAAAACTTCCGGAAGAGTGGCGTGGCGTGCTGACCTTCATGAAGGCTAGTGTGTAGGGCTCAGACTCCACCGGACCGTCATAAGCAGACTCCGTTCGTCTGGTCTTTGTTCGAAGTGTCTTGAAACCACGACTCTGGACCCATACTAAACAGAGACACACATGGAAAACCAAAAGCATTAAACACTAGCCTAAATGTCAAGCTGTTCATACATACAGAGGACTTACACACAGCAGGTTATGTATTCAAAGTCAGTCTTACCAGGCAGGAATTGCAGATCTGAGCAAACTTCTTTTAGAGGACTGTGGTATTGTCTGTGAAATATTGGGGAGCCAAAAACCCCCAACCTTCTGTGTGAAAACCCTGTCAGACAAAAAGGAACAAGGGATTTTTCACTTTATGTGTTAAAATATATCCACAAATGTGTAAAATTGTATTGTATGTAAAAAAAAATAAATAAAAAAATCTTAGATACGACAGCTGTTGATAAAGTAAGCTTTGGGCCATTTTCTTAGAAAACAGTAAAGCAGTATCGCCTTTCAGATCAGCGTCCCGAGCTTCTCACCATGCTTGTTGTGGAAGAAGCTGTGTGCAGAAACGTGACTCGTCCTCCATGTCGAGGGGACGGCTGGAGGTTCTTCTGGTCCTGGTGTTGGCAGTAACCTGCTGACCAGCTCATCCAGCTGACTCACCCTGATCTCTGACAGGCCAAGATCCCTGAGACTCACATTGGGCTACGAAGGAAGGATGGCGAAAGTAGGCAATCGTCGTTAATATTATTATCAATAATGACCAATGTGTGGGTATGTGGCTTTTTGGAGCCTTTAAAAAAAACTTTGTTAACAATGTTAAAAGCTTGGCTGTATGTATGATCAAAAGGTTACAGAAAACAGCTTTAGTAAAGATTGTGTTAAGTTCACTCATGGGGTCTGATAAGGCTCCTATTCAGCTTTACAAAATCTGCACATGTGAAGACATTCAAGTTTATGAATCATGTCATGTATCCGTAGAGTCCGTCTCACCTCTTTCAGAAACGAACTGTGCTCTGGAGCGAAGTCTTTGTGCAGGGTTTGGACTGAAGCTGTGGCTGAGTTCTTCAGAGAGTGGAGGGCATTGATGAGCTGGCTGAGGGGCAGGATCATCTGGCACAGACATAAACAGAGCAGGGTTAGGAACGGTTTTATTATTATTTATTATTATTTATTATAGTACGGTATATACTAAGTTCACGTTTAAGTAACTTTTCCAGGTTCTTTCTGGAGGTGAATCCGTGGGACGGGACTGTTATGTCAGTGTTATTCAGGCTGCTCTCCACCAAACAGAGAGCAGTGTGGCCCTCATACGTCAGATTTACGTCTTATGTAACCTCGACTCTTTGAGAAACAAAAAAACAAAGCAAGCACCCTTCAAGTTACTTTAAGCCGTCCTCTACCCTCACCTAACGTAAAAGTAGTGACCGAAACCGCACGTACACACAGTTTAGTTTTTTTGCGGGTGGACTGTGGAGAGAGAGAGAGAGAGAGAGCCGCCGCCGACTTGCTCATGCTAACCGCTAGCCACGTTGTCATTGACCGTCAGAGAAGACGTGACATAAACAACGACCGTTAGTCAGAACCCCCCTTGTTGCTATAACTACCGAGGCAGTCGTTCCCGGGCAACGCCGGCAATATAACCTTAAACTTAAAAGGACGGGGTAGCAACGCTGTCAGACACATTGGCTAAGTTAAATGAAGAAAGGCTGCTCTCCAGTCGGCTTACCTGCTGCGGCTGAAACGACGTTGACAGTGAAAACATTTTCTTCCGAGTTAGGATTAAAGCTCAGGGTATTGGAGGGTTGATGTATGAGGAGAGACCCTCTGTATTACTTATATGAGCGAGTCCTCCCGGGAGCCGTGTCCTTTTGTTTCCCCTCACTGTTACTCAACTTTCGGCAGCTTAGCTTTTGTAACGCCAAATGGATTCTCCGGCATCTGAGGTCAAGTGGACTACAAAATGACGTCGGGGCGGATTGCTTCCGGTTGCGGGTTGCGTCGTTACGTAGCGTAGCGGGACTCAAACCACAAGTTAATTTAAAATAAGATTAAACACGCTATATGATAAACAAATATCACTTTGTGTTGCATTTTGTGACTTAATAATATTTTTATTTATTTATTTATTTTTTTTTTTTAAAAAAAAGCTCGGCTGTTATTACAAAATTTCTATAGAGGGTATGCACGTGACGTCACGGTACCCGGAAGTCGCTGCGGTTACGTCCACTGAGTGGCAAAAAGACGAGTGGCAAGTAGAGCGCCGTAACGTTTAACAGCGTCAACACTGCCAGAATCATATAAGAAAAAGAAGAAGAGCCGGCAAGATTTTATATTCAACATGGGGAAGAGCTGCTGTGCTATCGACTGCACTAATAGATTTGCAAAGGGGTCGGAGCAAAGTTTCTATAGGCTACCGAAAGCAGCAGAAAAGAGACGGCGATGGATCACTGCGATCCGGAGAGACAGCTGGTATCCAGGCACCGAGACCTGGATCTGCGGTTCACATTTTGTGTCAGGTAACGTTAAATTATGCTGTATTTTCAGACAAAATCATATCATTAAATTACATAATATATTGCTAACGTTACTTCAGTAAAGCTCTTAACGTTAGCATCTTTCATTTAGCTAACGTTAGCTTCTGTATTCTGTATTCAGTAATGTTAATAATCCTAGCTAGTTTAAGGTAACTGAAAGACCCAAAAGTCATACTTTTGTACAAAGAAAGATATCGTGTTATAGTATTACTCTGGTAAAAGTGAAAGTCACCTAAATAAATAGTACTTGGGTAAAAGTCTCAAAGTATCTGATGTTGGCTGTACTTAAAAATCAAGTACAAGTAAATTATTTACTTGTGTCAATACACTGTATAGGTTACTGTAAACTGACTTTATCAGCTTATTTTCTGCTATGATGTTTAGTTTTGGATTCTGTTTAAATCTAATGGCTGATTGAATAAATAGATTTTTAAATGTGCTAACCTGGCTCTGATTCATATAGAAATCGTTATATGTATATATTCGCTGCTACCAACCATGTATATTTGTTTTTTCAGGAAAAAAGAGTGATGATCCTCTACACCCTGACTATGTGCCGAGTTTATTCAGCTTCACCTCTACTGCTGATCGGACTCGGGCTGTCAACCACCTGGAGAGATATGTGCGAACTCAAAACGTTTCTGGCAAAAGACATGATGGGCTAACTGCAACAGACAGAAGTACTGCGTCAGAGCAAGAATTACAGGTAGATCAAGGAGATAATAACACAATACAATACATTTTACAGCATAAGACATCAGAGTCTCCTGAACACTTTCTGAACTCCTGACCATTGACTTCAGCTATTTCTTCACAACAGGTACAAACTGAAACTGGAGTCCAAGGCACTGAGGTCCAGACAGAGGAGACACACAATGACATTGCCTCATTATATAAACAAATTGAATCTTTAAACATCGAATGTCAATCACTGAGAGATAAAATTCATGGACTAGAAAGTGAGTTGAAGCATCGTACCCTTGACCCTTCACAATTTGATGACAGCAAAATGAAATTTTTCACAGGACTTCCCAATTTACAGACTTTCATGTTATTGTTTAGCTTTGTGTTGTCAGTTTTTCCTGCTACTCCAAAGCAGTCCCTCAAGCCTGCTCAGGAACTACTTCTTACACTGATGAAGCTGCGCCTCAATCTGTCAGAGGAATTTTTAGGTTACCTCTTTGGGATTCACCAGTCAACAGTATCCAGAGTCTTTCACCGTTGGATACATGTTATGGCAAGCAGGCTTCATCCTCTGATATTGTGGCCAGAAAGAGAAGACCTTAGACGCAGCTTACCAATGTGTTTTCGTACATTTTTTAAGAACTGTGTAAGCATAATCGACTGCTTTGAAGTGTTCATAGAGCGTCCTTCTGACTTAAAAGCTCGAGCTCAAACTTGGAGCAACTACAAACAACACAACACTATAAAATTTCTCATTTCAATCACCCCACAAGGAAGCATCTCTTTCATGTCCAAGGCCTGGGGTGGACGTGTTACAGACAAACACCTGACAGAACACAGTGGGTTCCTTGACAAGCTCCTACCAGGGGACTTGGTACTGGCTGACCGAGGTTTCACAATTGAGGATAGTGTTGGCCTATTTTGCGCAGAATTAATAACGCCTCCATTCACACGAGGGAAGAAACAGCTTAGCCGAAAAGAAATTGAATCGGCTCGTGAAATTTCTCGTGTGAGAATCCACGTCGAAAGAGTGATTGGAATGTTGAGGCAGAAATACACAATTCTGGGCTCAACGCTGCCTGTAAGTCTCATTAGAGTGGAGCAAAATGGCAAAGTGGAGGACAGCCTTATAGATAAGATTGTGTTAACATGCTGTGCTTTATGCAATATGTGTGAGTCCATAGTGCCTTCAGATTGAGGTGAACATTAGTTCAAACCTTTTGTCTTAATAGTTGGTATCAATATGTATTGGATGATAAGTGTAAATATTAATTTTAAAACTTTTGCGTGATTTTCATTGATAAGCCCGTAAAGGGTTACATTTTGTAAATATTTACTCTGTGATGTATCTGTTATGTATTTACTCTAAGTTATTTCACAGTAACATATGAAGTACGTTTATATTCATGTTTATGTGTTATCATATTTAGTATGTATATATGTTATTGTTTAGTATACCTATATACTTTTATACTGTTATTGTTTTGTATACCTATAAAAGGAGAATAGGCTTTTAAAGTTTATTATTTATTTATTGAAAATAATTGTAATAGTTTTGACACAACTGTCAGGTCAGTCTAGATATGCTAATATGTCACTTTCCAACCTTAGACATGTAAACAGTGTGTGGAAATAACCCCAGACTTACAGTCTAAATAGTTACATTTTATATACAATGATAGGACTAATAAGAAAAAGATTACGCCAAAAATGCTGTAAAAACTTTGGTTTTGAATAATAATGTAACATATTTACAAATGTGAAATGTGTCACCAACTGCTCCTTTGAATGGGAGGCGGAAACAGTTCACAAGCATCAGTCAGTAATTTGGGGCTTTTCAAAATGTTCAGTAGTTCCCCCATCATAAAATAACTTTATATATCATCTTTTCTCTGTAGGCAAAGTGTCACTTACGTATAAATATGTACAAGTTAAGTGCAAGCTGTAACATCATCCCTAAGGTGAAGGGCTTAACACAATAACAGTCCTACAGATGAGATGTTGCACCAGGATTCAGTACTGCATTTTTGGTGAACCATTTTCCCAATAATTCTGGCAGCACTCCATACTTGAAAAACGTTGTGGCCTTCATAACATGTCTTTCAAAATTTACATCTGGGGTTATTCTTTCAATATACAATTCTGAAGGCGTCCACACACAAAAGTCACAGTACAGAGATTTTGTGACATGAATCTGGCACTGCACTTGAAAGTAGTAGTTGTGCTGTCTGTTAAGTGTCAGCGTCACATCTGAGGATGAAGATGTGACCAAGGGAAAGTCTTTTTCTTTTGACAGTTCAAGCAGTGTCTTGTCTTTTGCCAAGTAGGGACATTTGATTTCCAGGCAGCCTGAGCCACAACAGTCACAAGACACCTTCCCATCCGGGGAAGCGCCTAGGTGAGGGTAATGTGAGGAAATATTGAGTCCAGTGGTGGTCACATCAAAATTGACATGTCTTGATGACATGGTTTCAGTGTATTTCTCCTTTGCCTTGTTTTCCTGATGAATGCCCCACCTGAAAATATTTGAGGAAAACATGTTACTTTTAAATTAGGGCATACATATACCATGTCCACAATTACTTTTCATCAGGTTTTGTAAGAGATTTTATCATTCACTAGTTCTATCCTTCTGAGAAGAGAACAACTTTGAAATTTCATAAATTTACTATGTTGTTAAAGCAATAAATAATACCTTGTTGCTGCAGTGGTAAACTTTGCTGATTCTGGGTAGCATACAGCTTTCACAAGTGATTTTGGGGGCTGATTTTCATTGCTTTTGATAACTGCACCAAACTTGGAAGCTGTTACTCTGCCACATCTGTAGGTATACCACATCCTTGATGAAGCCTGTCCCTTTGTCTCCTGTTCAACAAGCTTACATTGCTCATCTGTCATTTTCAATTCTTCAAACACCTTGTCACATTTTTCAATAAGTTCATTGTATGTCAAAGAAGCATTCTCAGCATCATAAAGTTGTCCCAGTGGTGTAGGATAGCCATCTCTCAGAGCCATTGGGACAAAATCTTTGGAGTGGTTTGGAGCTACAGAGAGCACAGCAGCTCTTGGGTTTGCATACTTCAGCTTATTCAGAAAGCCTGCAACTTCATCTCCTGTAGGTTTGGACGTAGCATCACAGGGCCCTGACTTCCTTGATGTAGTTTCATTGACCACACTCATGTCAACTTGACCTAAAACCTTTCTACTCTGCGTTCTGGGACATGTCATATCTATAGAGGACAGTTCAGAGCAGGCGATTTTCTTTTTTTGTGTTGGCTGAAGCCACTGACATGGCAGTGAAGTACACGGCGTGTCATCACGCAGCCTCACACCAGACATTACTGCAAACATCAACGCTGCTGCATGTGAACATGTCTCTCCAAGTCCTGCCATGCATGTACAATGTGCTGTCACAACTGTCCCTGTCTTCTCTGCAGCTATCCAAGTTTTCAAGGGTGGCTCATTCATTCTCTGGCTGTGTTTCACCTGTACAATTAGCGAGTGGCAGTGTCAGTTACAAACAAATCAGTCCTTCCAGAAAAATACAGATTTTTTTTGTGGTTGTTGCAGGAAAAAATCCTTAATTATGCAGCATGTTTTTTTAATATAAGCAGGATAATTTTATGCGATAAAATTGTGGGAACTGCTGCAAAAACTGCGGTTTGATGTAAAAGAGAATAAAAAGTGATTCCCCCAACACCCTGTTCTCACTAGGCTACAACCTTAATGTAAAGAGTAATTTTTTATTACTTCCTATGATAAGCAAACATAAGTTCTCATCTGGTTTTATTTCAGACTTACAAAACATTGATGAGTCAAACAAGGTCTGTAGCTTTACAAAAGGAATATGCTACAACTTGACAACTGTAAAAATGGATAAATACAATATAAAAAAATAAAATGTGCTTCCTGTTTTGCAGAGGTAGACATCTTCTGTTAAAATAAGTGCTTCCAATGCACAAAGTGCAGTCTCTTACTGTAACGCAAATGTACACACTGCTAATATTTACAACTGTAAGGTTTTTGAAACTAGTATGATTTAACCCACTGGAAACAAAAAAGTGCAATCGCAGGGTTTGCAGCTTTCCAGTGACGTTCACGTCGTATAATTACGTCATTTCATAACGTTCCCATGGCAACGGGAAAATGGTTGCTCTTCTGTGAAGTAAATGCAACATTTTTCAACTTTCTACTAAGATATATAGATATATGTGACTTTTTTGCAACGAAAATGCGGGGATTATAAAATCATGCAAGCGTTTATTCGTGTTTTTCTGGAGGGACTGACAAATAATGCCTGACAGTAGCTAACTCAGTTTATAAAAAACATAAATATATATAACTTGTATACAAACCTGTCCACAGACCACCAGAATATCCATCGATGTTCTCATCACTTTAATTTCGCCGACAAATCCCGCCTTGAAGTATGACCAAGCATCAAGGCTTTTGTATGCCTTTAGGCTTTGCCGTGTATATTTACCTGGCGTACAAATCAGGTACATATAAATGTCCGGATATCCGATATCTGGCCACATATCAATGTCCGTGGACCAGATGGTTTTGGGGAGCTCGAATGGATCATTTGCGAGTCCAACTGCCGTTAATTTGTTTTTATGATCCATTTTATTTAGTTTCGCTATCCTTTGACATATTGTGGGCGATTTCTTTTGCCACTCAGTTCGAATGAGGGGGCGTGTCGAGGGCCGGAAGTGACGTAAACGCATACCCTCTATATATACGTCGCGTGCCTGTTCCTTACTGCCTGATCAGTATTGAAATATAAAAACGTTAAATATCGTTCAATTACCTCTCTTATATTGACAAAATTATAACACTTCTTGATTATTTTACAGCTGCAATAAAATAACTCGAAATTACAGTCCACACGAAGCGCATTTATTTATTTTTTTTGCACTTTACACACAGGCAGATAGTCCACCAACCAAACGGAACGGACGTCAGGGGGGGACCCCGCGAAAGAGCAGTGGAATTCAAAAACAAACCAGAGATTTGTAGTCCGTGTTTACTCCGAGCTAGCCGACTGTTACAGACACACAAACCCAGCTCCTCGTTTTAAAAACCACTCATATCAAATGGACGCGGGTGAAAAGCACGATTCCAGCACACACGAGAAATCCGTGGATATTCCCAAACCGCCTTCCATCGAGGATTTCATCGTTTTGAAGCCCATCAGTCGCGGTGCGTTTGGGAAGGTCTACCTCGCACGGAAGAGGTGCAATGCGCGATTATATGCCATAAAGGTGAGTCGGTTTGATCTTCCTCAACTCTGTTTGACTCATTTTAGGTTAAAAAAAACCAAAAACAACTTTTATTCTTTTCTTTAGATGATGAAGAAAGCAGACATGGTTGTTAAAAACATGACGGGCCAGATGAAGGCGGAGAGAGATGCCCTCGCTTTGAGCAAAAGCCCCTTCGTGGTTCACCTGTTTTACTCCCTTCAGACAGCCACCAAGATCTATCTGGTAACACCTGGTGGCAAAATGCACAAGGCACATTCACAGTAACCGTTTTGTGACGTTATTATTTGTAAAGATGTTGTTAAATATTGATTTTCATGTTGCTTACAGGTAATGGAATACCTCATTGGTGGAGATGTGAAATCTCTTCTTCACATCTATGGGTATTTCGACCAGGATATGTCTGTTAAGTTTATTTCAGAGGTTGCACTGGCTTTGGACTACCTCCATCGGCACGGTATAATCCACAGGTACTTTTTGGTGTCATTAAATGTGTATGACATTGATTGATTAGTCTTTATGTGAGATTTAATGTGTGACCTTTTTCAGGGATTTGAAGCCAGACAACATGCTTTTATCCAACGAAGGTCACATTAAACTAACAGACTTCGGCCTTTCTAAAGTCAAGCTTGACAGAGGTATGAGGTAACACGTTTTGATCATCGCCACGAGTGATGTTAGTGATATTTATTTTATTTTCTCTCTGTTCTCTCCATCAGAGCTGAGTCTTACGGATATTCTCACTACTCCATCCTTGGCTAAACCAAAAAAGGATTACTTCCGCACCCCAGGTCAAGTCCTTTCCTTGATCAGCTCCCTTGGATTTGTAAGTGAATTTATGTAATTTTGCATGGAGAAATATAGTCACATGCCTCATTTGTGTTGCGTAATGACTCTTCTTTTATTTTATTATGTTAAACACAGAATACACCTGCAGGAGAGGGGAAGCGTCACTGCAGTGCGTCTGCTGTGTGCAGTCCCATGTCTTGTGGCAAAATCAGACAGAAGAATAACTCTCTTGGTTCTCCTTTGATGAAGAAAAAAGAACAGCTGTCCTCTCCGACCCGCTACCGTTGGAAAATGGGTATGTCATGGTAGATGACAAGATGCCCTCTTGGCTTTGACTGACTGTTTATGCAAGGACTGTTTACTCATATCTCAAAGGCTGGCGCATAGTATAACTTTCAATGAAAATGTGTGCCATGCTACATTAACTGTTTTGGTTTATTTTGTATTTTCTTCTTAGGACCCAGCAGCATTGCGTTTAGTCCTCATAACCTGGCTAAAAATCTGACTCCCACACTGCTGAAGACCAGGAAGAGGTTTGAGACGATGAGTGCAGGCAGCACCACCGACACCGAAGGTGGCATCAGTCCACTTTGGGAGTGTGACGAGGTCAGTGATCGTAAAACCCATAACTGTAATTTATGACATATTAAACAATGTTATATGTGGATTAGGGTCTCCTGACCAACTCTGTTGCCTCCAAATCTTAATTTAAGTAATTTCATTTAATGGATCTGAGAATACAAAGTCATGCTTTTTTTCTAGATTAAGATAGTTTCCGATTACAGATATTTAACCTCTTGTGTATAATATTTGCAGATAAAATTAACAAAGTATTGGAATTAAATTTGAAACATGCCCTAATCAGTTCCTATACTGTTCTTTCCTTGCTGTGATAATAATTTATTTTTATTTGATCTTTCTTCTTCAGAAAGAAAACCAACATACTCATGAACAGAAAGGGAGAGGGTGTTATGAGTCAAAAGGGCCTGAACAGGACTGTGCACCCACAAAACCGGATACTTCTGGCTTCTCTTCTAACGCCACCGGCTATCTGATCTCAAATGAGTCAAATCCGGGCCACGTGACAGAAAAAATACCTCACACCAACAAACTGGGGTCCGTTTGCACAGTTCGGGATGAGTTTTGTCCTTCGGGCTCATCTGTAAAGAGAATGTTTTCCGATGTTGAAAGAAGTCCCGAGCCATTGGAGATCCAAGCCAAGAAGAGTAACGCAGCCTATAAGAGGTGCTACGAGATTCCAGAAGAAAGTACAAGGTTTCACACTGGCCTGACTGGGACATTTTCTTCAATCCAAATAGGTGACTTCATGGCCTCCACAGAGGGGATTGGGTTAGCTGAAGAAAAGATCCCAAAGCGCTCGAGTCCCATTGCTGTGGCCAAGAGTCTGTTTTGTGAGCTGGAGGAGCCAACGGAGGACGTGTTTGAAGATGGAGCCAAAGACTTGTCACATTCCAGTTTTACCTCACCACTTGCAGGGAACAGTGACATTTGCAGGAGCTTGAGCCTCGACTCCGATGGGTCCATGCACGAAACGTCTCTCACTATTGACAGCCGTGCGTCTCTCAAGCCAAGCAAGTCCTCCAAAAACAGGAATTCTCCATCATTTGAGGAGCAGGAGGAAAATAAAGACTCATCCATCACTGAATCCCTCCCGCACACTCCATCTGCTACTGAAACTCCCAAACTTGGTAACTTTGGCCAGCGAGGTGAATCCCATTGTTCCTTTCTTAACCGGCTCCCCGATCTGGCCTGCGGTGTTGCACAGTCCCCCTCATTCCTCAAGCCAAGAAATGTCGTAGCTTTCCGCAGCTACTGCAGCTCCATAAACCGCTCCAACGTGTCAGGGGTGTCTCGATTTAGCATCGGGTCTGTTGAGGCTATGGATCTGTCCACAACAGCTTCTCATCACTCTGCGTCTGGCACTGCAACCCCAGTGCAGAAAAGACCCAACTCCAACAGCTCTCTCTATCAGGTAAGCATACAAAGGACACTATTCAAATTGTAGTCGCAATCATCATACATGTGACGTCACAAAGGCTGTTCATTGGAGGGCAGCCGTGTTGGATTACATCACGCAGCGTTTGATTGAAATGTGTCGTTTTGCAATTTTTTTTTTTTTTTACATTTCCTCTTATTCCCTTCTCACAGACTCCTCAGCCCATGTCGACCTCTCACACCCCTTTCAGGACCCCAAAGAGTGTCAGAAGGGGTGGGCTGCCTGTTGAGGGTGCACCCATTCTAGGAACTCCCGACTATTTGGCTCCAGAGCTTCTTCTGGGAAAACCACATGGTAAGAAAATGAAATTCAAAATTCCACGCACCACAACAATGGCCCCACACAGGTCTTATGGTATTGACATTGGATGGTTGCCACTGTAGTCCTTGTGACAGGAATTTTCTTTGAGTTTCAGGAAGTTGTCAGTGTGGTAAGTTTATAATGATATTGCTGTTTTAGCAAACAAGCTTGCATGCTCACCCAGCCTGCTAATATGCTAGTGGAAATGAGCTGATTCTCCCCCCCCCCCATTTTTCTACCCCCACTGGTTCTGTTTCTGCCCTTTGGATTGGTGAATAAACTGTGGGCCTGATCAGAGGGAAGGGGATAGTATTTTAAATGTGTGATTACGAAGGCTAAACAAAATGGGGTCATTTCCTAACATTAAACTAACATCATTGTTAAAGTTGGGGAATCAGATTTGTGAAGGCTGATGTGCTTTTAAATGGTGGAGAAAAAAAAGGGGTTTTCTGCTCTTAAAACCTGCAGATTTGGGGTTATCCTGACAACTATCTGCTCATTATTTTTGACATTTAGCAACTGACAGACATGTCATCTAATAACCTATTTATCTGACCTACTGTTATTCATTAAAACACACTGAGGGCAATATCTCCTGTCAGTTGCACAATGCCATTGTGAAGCATGATTGCCGCTATTTTTGATTCATGAACAGTCGATCTGTGGCATGAATGACCTTGTGTGGCAGTATTTTGTTCATCAGCTGTCGAGGAGGCTCGTGATAATTGTAATTTTGAACACAGTTATTGAGAAGCAAAATGACTTATTTCAAACTACAACGCTAGATACAAATATCACGGCTCATGTGTGATAATTCTCTTCAGTTATTGAATTATTGTTCCATGTGTGAACGAAGGAATGTGAAGTTTAGACCCAGAGGTTGAATCCCTCCATCCTAAGTCTAACTCAATCCCTGCTTCTGCCACCGCAGTTCGATGTAGTGCACACTCTAACAGGAACCGCAGGGTAAAGTAGCCAGCAGCTGTATTAAATGTCACTCTTCTCTGCCCCCCCCCCATCCAGACTGCATGGTGGATTGGTGGGCACTAGGCGTGTGTCTTTTCGAGTTCCTCACAGGTGTGCCACCTTTCAATGACGAGACGCCTCAGCTGGTCTTCCAGAATATTCTCAACAGAGGTGAGATTTGGTGATATATACCTTTTTTTTTTTTTGACAGTTTTAGTTGAATTGATCATGCTAAGGATTCTGTTGCTTCTTTTACCACCTCAACAATTTTAGATATTCCCTGGCCTGAGGAAGAGGAGGAACTGTCTGTAAACTCAAGAAATGCGATTGAAATCCTCCTGACCATGGACATGACAAAACGAGCTGGTCTAAAGGGTGAGGTCCACTTTCCAGTTCTTCATGATTTACCTGATACCGGTCAGAGAGACTTTTTGTTGCTGTAATCAGGGAACTATCTCATAATAAAATGCCTCAATTTCAACACCCATTGTAAGTAAATCTACTTGGAGGACACTTGTTAAGATTTAAATAGGGAGTATGCTCTGATTACTTTGTCTGAACAATCCACCAGAACTCAAGTGCCACCCGCTGTTTGAGGGCTTAGACTGGGACAACCTGCAGAACCAGCCGATGCCTTTCATACCTCAGCCAGAGGACGAAACCGACACCTCGTACTTCGATGCAAGGAACAACGCTCAGCACATCACTGTGTCCGGCTTCAGCCTATAGAGTTACAAACACCAGACGGTTAGGAGTTTTATTAAAGCAGCGGTCAACAAATATTGGCTGCTGGTGAAGCGAGAATGTCGTGCATGTGGATGAATCGTTGGCCTTCCCTGTGACAAACTCAATCGGATCCGTTATACAAATGAATACGCAGTAATTATGTGGATTCTGATTCAAGGTTGTAATATTTTTTTATTAAAAAAAACCTTTTACCTATGTGCAATTACCGGTCATAAGAGACAGAAAATAGCTGAATCTGTTGCCGGCTCAGTTAGTTGTGTTGTAGAAAGTAAACTTCTGTTAAAACTTTCATTATATAGTTCCGATACGTCTCTTAAGTCAGATTCTTCCACTAGCAAAATGCTCTTTGCTACTGCTTTACCTTTATAATAGGCTTTTGATTTCCTGTGTTATTATGGTGTTATATTGATTAAACACAAAATATATATATATGTAAGTTCATGTAAATGTGGCACTTACTGCCGATACACTCCATTTTTATCGCACTGTTCATCATTGTAACGTTTCCCTGCTGTTGGTAGACTTTGAGGGGTTAAATACTGCTAAAGAAAATGCTAATATATTCAAGAATGATTTATTTTATATGTAAATCTTATTAATAACATTTTGTGTTGTTGTTTTAAGACGAGTTTGTACTAACAGGACTGTCTTTTTGCTGTTTTTATGTCATTTGCAGTTGTAATTTTGACCTTTCCTGTCCATTTTTCACACTACTAGTTTTTAAGATAAGTTCACTTTGCTACCTGTGACATTTTATCTTGTTCACTCTAAGAAAAAAAGTGAAATACAAATAAAATTGTTTGTAACATGATGTTCTTGGTTCTTTTTTGCTAAAAAAGTTTGCTAAACCCAAAACAATCTATCACTGACATTATCAATTTGTTAACCATGAAGCTGCAGCTGGTTAGCTAGCTAGCTTAGCACAGAGAGTGGAAGTAACCAGGCTAGCTATGTCCGAAGGTATAGCATGTTTTATTTGTATATTTTTTGTTTTATGGGGATTATACGCGGGACTATTTATGTGCCAGTTCCTGTTTCCAGCTGTAGCACATACTTAACGTACAGAAAGTGTTATCCGTCTTATTATCGAACTCTTAGAAAACAAGGGAATAGACATTTCCCAAAATGTCAAACTATTTGAAATAATGTGGAGAAATTAAAATGCTTTATGAAAACTTTATTTGAGGCTTAGATTATCACATGCAAACACCACTCTATCCACAGGCAGAGAGGGTGAGAAAGCCTTAGTACATTTCAGTAGAAAGGTAAACCTTTTTTCATTTTTTTTATTAAAACATAATGGCTCTGGAAAGATTAGTGATATTGCAGATGCAAACCTTTGTAAATATGATATAGTATTCTATATTAATAACTCATGGGAATGCAATTAAAATACTGCATTTTAATCTGAACTGTACAGCTATTTTATACAATTTGTATAGATGCTCACTGCTTTGCAAACAATTCATGATTACTATCAGTCACACAAATTCTTTCCACAATATTCATACAAACATTATTACATCACACATTAAAATGATACAATATAGAAAGACGTGACCGCGTAAACAACACAGGCAGTGACAAGAGTTATGCATTAATAATCAGACAGGCGACCACCTCATGGCTCACTAGGTAGTATGATTAATGATTATTTGGTCCAGCACTGGATCAGTTATGCTACAATATGTGAATGTTAGAAATAATAATGCCACCTATAGTACACAGTATGAATGTACCTTATGATGTTGAGGCACTTCTATTTGGACAACAGTGAAGTGACCCGAGTCAAACCACCTGGACGTAAAGCACAGACTGATATAAAGTAGGACAGGTGATGGGGAACTTTGTCTAACCTATACACAACATTTAGCGGTCACTTTAAACATAAACCTCACTTGTACAGCTGAAATTGGGCCTGCAATGCCTTCATTGTAACTGTTGCTAAAAGCAATAAATATTAACTTATCCTCAGAATTGAAAAGGAATCTCACATATGAATATATTATTACATTCAATCCTCCCTCTAAACTATTACAGTTATTACAACATTTTATTATAGCAGCATTGCCTGGGCAACTAATGAAAGTGAATTTTGAAAATGTATAACCACACTAAGCATTTTTTATGCTGTAAAGCCTTAGTTCTGGAAATAATTGAGAAGCTACTGTGATTGGTTTATAAACACGCTGACAACAATCCCAACTCCCCTCTCAACACAAACCGTTTGTTACAGAAAAAGATTCCAGTACAGTGGTATCATGAAAAAGGTTGTATAATCGCAGGCTGCAAGCCCTTACATTCATGTTTCTATTTGATTCCACATCCACAGTACAACACACTTGAGAGGTTTCTTCCTCTCACTCATTACTCTACGTGCCTTCTTCATAGTGCAAAAGCAAATTACTGGGCTGTGGGTCTAAGCAGGGGGGAGTTACAGCCATTAGCAACCCAACCAGACATTTAGAGGACTCTTCTTTATCGTCTATGCCCATGGATGTTTGGGTGAGAGCGGGTTCAGTTGATTCGTCTATTAAAAAGAACGAGAAACGTTAACAGTTAAATAGAGTATTGCATGAAAATGATGGTATATGAGTTGACATTTTGCTGTATAACAATACCTTCTCCTCCTCTGCAGGTATAGGCGAATAAGCCACTGTACCACAAATGGCCATATAACAGCGAAGGCCAAACTGGTTGGAGAAATGTCAAAAGGCCACCAGGATGGTTTCTAGGAAAATGAAAAATTCAATAAATTACAATATGTGGCTCATTTTAGTGGTTAATTATGTTTAAATCTTTGCAAATCACTGCCCAAACAGCTTTTTTCTAAATGAAACCAAACAGCGTGAAGTCTTTTAAACCGTTTACCCGAGTCCGCTTATTCACTGGAAGTGGTGCATAAGTTGGAGACAGAGACATTGATCTTGTCTGCAGAGAGTGAGAAATAAAAAGAAATGTCAGAGGAAAAAGTAAACACCCCCAACAGTACAAAGTGCAAACCCCTTATCTTGTCTTCTTCAAAGCCTCATCTACAAACTGAAATCCTAACTTCGCAGGACCTGTGTTAATGTGTACTGTCAAGTGCGTTTCTGATCATGTCAAACTAATTAAAAAGAAAATAAAATGTATAAAAACATCAACAAGCATATTTATGATGAACTTTTTTGTTTAGAGATTTAGCAATTTATTTTAAGTACAATAAATGTTGACACCAAAATGATCCATGTGTGTCCAGTAGACTGCTTCTGCACTATTATATTATGATATATTATAAATGGAAGCATTCAGAACTATGTGAAAGTGAAAAAACTTCACGTGCACCAGCTTTAAAGTTGAATGCATTTAATACAATATTGTACTGGGTATTAAAATGCAGCCAGTTAAATAAAATGTGCCAATTGTTGACTCATTATATCTGGTGTAGCAAAGTTTGTTTCTCAACAAAACAAACATTAACCACACACTGTAAATAGATTTTCACCTGAACCCCCTTCCTACTTCCCTCCACCCTTAGTTGCTATTTAAAAACAGAAAAAGTAGTCTCAAGTGGTTCAAAGCGGTTGATGATTTTGTGTGAATCCTCCTACTAAAAGCTTCCAAACATGGCCACATACTATAATGCTAATTACTGGCCACTTAAATGTGGCTTTAACTGAGTGTGTTTTGTTTCTGAAAGGAATTAATGAGCGGACAAACTGGTCTGACCTGGCTAGCAGTGAGAGCCTCCAGGGTGTGCAGTCTCTCCAGGACGCTCTGCATGTCCTCCTGCAGTCTAGCCAACGCCACGACGATCTGCTCGTTCAGGCTCCCTCCAGGTGTCACTGCTCCTCCCCAGCGCCCCCCGTCCCCGTCTCCACCGCTGTACGTGGGCACCAGAGATCCAGAGCCCGGGCCTGGAGACCTGGAGCCTAAAAACACAGAGAGGACTTATAATTAATGTTCACACAATGCCTACATGAAAACAACATCAGTGGTCATTTTAAGAATGGACATTTGACAGTAAGGCTGCAACTTTTTGCCCTTATAATGTAAGAAAATAGTAACCATTGACCATTGTAATTTCCCATGTGTTATTGTTTTATCTCAACGACAAAATGGGTCAAAACCCCAAAGATACTCAGTCTACTATCATACATGACAAATAAAAGCAATAAATTGTTACATTTTAGAAGCTAAAATAAGAGATTATTTAGCATTTTTGCTTGAAAAACTACTGAAAATACTTATTTTCAGAAGATAGACAAATTAATGAATCATCTATAAAGGTTACAGTTCTATTTTTCAGTATAGGACAAAAAGGCAAACAGGGTTACTTTTTTTTGGTAAAACCCCTAACCACTACTTCATACTGAAAGCAACCTGATCAACAAGTCTTCCCGAGTCAAATAACTTCCTGTAAGACTGAATAACTAAGGGAAGAAAAACTTGTTGGCAGTGAAATGTTGCTCAAGGCTGAGAGACACTTTGTTTAGAAGACTGAAGGCAAAAAAACAGCATTTGGTGTACAGATCGACACGGCGGACACAAAAACACAGTCAAACCAAGGTTCCTGGGAGTATAAACTCCCTGTGAGGACAACCTTACCTCTTCCTCTTCCTCTTCTGACCAAAGAGCTGTCTGGCCCATCTGCGTTCAGTCTCTGTTTCTGCGACGTTGTACCACCGTTCTCTCCATCTTCCCCTCCACACTTGATGACTTGCGGTGGACCGTGACCGTCCTCCTGGAGCTCCTGCGTTGCCTGCGGCTCCTCTAGAGGAAGCAGGGCGTGGTTCTCCTCTTCATCCAGATCGTCCAGAGAGCGGTTAAGCTCTGAGCTCTGAAGAAGATGCACATTATAATGACTAAATGATAGACTATGAGCTATAGACATTGTATAAGGAAGAGGTTTTAAGTGGTTTCTTGCCTCTTCTTGGCCGAACTGGTCCACAGAATCACAGTAGACTTCGCTGTCTGAGTCGCTGGCCAGGTGACTGGGGCCAATCACATCTACACTGGGATCTGAGATCAGTACAAAGGGCACAAAAAAAGCTCAGACTCTGCATTGAAATGTTGAGCAAACTGCACTGCAATTAACAGAGTGACATGGAGGAAGGCAGCGTTCACTTAATTTGGGGGCATTGTGTGCCATTTCAGCAGAGCCATTCATTTAGACCATTAAAACTGTCCCAGGAGCAGCTGATGTGTAAAGTGGTAAGATTTCTTTGTCTGCCGAGTTGCCACAGCTCTGGGAATGAAGCTTAGCAGATTATCTGATCACATGGTGCGCTGATACACGAGCTCAGGCAGTGAGTGCAGAGTCCTCTGTAACCATTTTGAAACATTTCAGGGACATCTTGTAAAGTCAAAACAGGACCGGGCTTTCACAGATTTGAACCAGAATGGAACTAAATGGTCGTGGAGTTCGAGTGTCCCTTACCTGTGTGGTGGCCATTGAGCACAGGCTCACCGACCGAACCCTGCTGACTCCCATTAGTCAGATGGGTGACCCCGTTAGCCACTTTACCGTTCAACAGTGGCGCTTTGTGTCTCCTGGCTGAACCCCTCTTCTTTGGCTGTAAAGCTGCTGATTTCTTGTCTGAAACAAAATCCCAACAAAGAAAATCGTGTCAAATAAATGTTATATATATTATATATATTTTGACAGTGTTTATAGTTTTGTTACCTTTTCTGACCTCCCTTATCACTTCTTCCTCTTCTTCTTCTTCCTCCTCCTCCTCCTCATCCTCCTCGTCGTCATCCTCCTCCTCCTCCTCTAGTGCCTCTTCCTCTGACCCCTCCCTCACTTCCTTTGATTTGAGCCTGGCAGGACGAGTCTCCAGAGTGCCGTTCATTTCCATCGTTCTGATGATGTTCTTCGTGACGTTCTTCGAATGGACCGAATTCAACATTGTACCAAACCCTGTGCAACGAAAACAAAATTCACTGCGACGCCACAAATACCAAAAAGACATTGTTTCCTTTGATAAATAAGGTTTCAGTAACTCGCCACTGATGATGTTTGGATTTATCTGTATCAAGTGTCCTTAAATGTGCTAATCCACATGTTCTGTACCACTAATTCAGCATGCTTGACAGGACACTAAAAAGCACCAAAGCTACTACAACACCAGACAAATACTAGAACTATATCAACAGAACCAAATATTTACACAGTAATATACTTGCCTTCCAGTTGCCTAGCAAACATTGTCAAACGGGCTGAGCATCGGACAAGAGGCAAATTATAAAAAGGTTAAGCTCTGCATGCGGTTTTTGACATCACAAAAGGAAACTGAAAGGTGGCAGAGTTACACCTGGTGAATAATACCCACCTGTGCTCAGATCTGATATCTGTGAGATCTTTTTCTTCTCCTCAATCAGCTCATAGAACGGGCCGAGAACACGTAGGAGCTCCTCCACCTCGTCCGTCATGGGCATACCCTCCAGGATCTACACGTTATACACGGCAACAAAGGACGGTTACAGATTAAACTACAGGTGTGCCTACATAAAATAAATGCCATATGTTCTGTTAGTGGAGAGAGAACATACCAGCTTCATTTCATCAACATAGGCAGCCATTGCTTCTTCTTTTGGCATATCTCCAAGAGAATTCCATGCATCCCTGAACAATTACATTCAAAACACTTTATCACTTTATCAGGTTAAAAGAAAATCCCTGCCCTGGTTTTAAACATTTCTGTCATAAGGCCAGGCTATTTGAGGTCAGTGTATTCTTTGTTAGCTTCGGGTCAAAGGCTGACAGAAACTTAACCATTCATTAGTAACTAGAGCTATTCCTAAACTGAGTGTTTTTGCCACTTACTGATAAACTACTCCCCCTCCACTGAAACTGTCTGGGCCTAATGGGTAAGAGGTTACGTTCCAAGAGTCCAGAGATCATTTAACACGACTTGAGACTTAACAGGAGGAGAAGAGTGGAGGGGATTTTACTCTTGTAGTCTTGTTTTGCACAATGAGAGGGAAAAAAAAGCAACATGTTGAGCAACGTTCACAAGTCAAATACCGTTTCAATTTTCCCCCTGAAGTCTGTGGCATTCATATTCAAATGATTCCTCAAAGTGACAAATATAAAGAGGAATGCTGTATGCACTGAGGCAAAAACAAAAGCACATACTGACTGTCATTACCATTTTGCTTTCCCGACTGCGTCCCAGAAGCCAGGTCGGGGTATATTGCACGCTCCCACGGTGGCTTGTTTATAGTAACTGTAGAACTTGAGCATCATGTCATTGGACGGCTGAAAGGGACCTGAGAGAAATAAACTTTAATCATCAAAAAGAAATGTTGCACTGAACATGTTTACTAAGTCTTAACTGTTTCTTATCTCTTGCACATCTGTGAATGCTCTGAGGCAACACAGACTTTCATAAACGACTGTCAATGTGCATTAAGTTGCAGACTGCTGGCAGGTGTCTGTACGCTGCTAGTAAAGTGGATTAAACCTTTTTAAACCGCACAAGATCCAAGACACACCAGGCTGTTGCACTGTGTTTGAACACCGTGTTAAAGCCCCCTCCCCTCCCCTCCTCTCCCCTGCGGTACACTGATCAAACCTGGCCTGAAGGCTAGTGGCAGACTGGCGTGGTCAACTCACCATCCGCGGGCAAACTCTTGATCACCTTGACGGCGGCATCGAACCTCAGCTGGGTCAGACGCCTGTCGGCGTCCACTGGCACACACTCCACCTCCATCGTGCCACACTGACACAGTCAACACAAAACCTACAGACAGACAGACAGACAGACAGGCAGTAAATAAACAAACACCGCTGCAGTATGAGAAGCGCCGGCTAAAAATATAACAGGCTAAAAAGCTGCTGCTGCAATAACATTCATACTAACCCTGTTATGTGAATATTAGGCTATAAATCCAGACTTGTACAACGTCAATGCGACCGGCTAAACTTGTGAGTAACTGTGGTTACAGTCTGTTATAAGCACCAGCAGGAGGTTGTGTCGGTTGTGTATCTAGGACACACTATCTAACGTTAACACAGTATGCGACACACGGCTATCTGCCCCAAATATTCGCGCCAAATACAATGTTTACTCCCCAAAAGTGTCGACGGTGAAAGCTCACAACCGGCGACACTTACCGTTAAAGTCAACGGCCTATCTGTTTGTCGGAAGGCGACCTCTCGTTATCCCTCGACCAGACGCCATGAACAGTAATAAAAGCCAAGCCGCGGTGTACTCTGGGAGTTGTAGTTTCTCTACGGGATGTTGTTATTTCCTACAAGAGCCACAATCCCCTGCGCCTGATAAAATATTTTAGTTTAAATGTAGTTTTTTTTTTTTAAGACTTAGATGCGGCGTTCACTGAGAAAGTAAAAAAACAAAAACAAATGCACTGAATAAAACGGATGCGTATTAAAACATAACAAATGTTATGTTATAATGTAGTTAGGCGCCACCGCGCATTCATAACATAACTCAGAGTAAAACTACAAATACCATCATGCTCTAGTCGAGATCAATGTTTTTTTTTTATCAGTTGGAAGAGTGATAGGTGGACGGGAAGGAAAAGGAAGAGCTCTCACTTTGTCGATATTTTCGAGTACCACAAATCGCTGTAAAATAAACTACAGCTGAAATCAGTTTTTAGATCAACTGTATTGGCTAATCAATCGAAATGATCAATCTGGATTCATTGTTTAACTAATGTTTCAAGAAAGACTGCCAAACATCTAGTTCCCCCCCCAAGAAAGACATTTCAATACATACATTTAGGATTTTTTGGTGTTAGAAGTAAAAATAATTGGTAGACAAAGTGACCATGTGAGAAAAAGACATTAACGTTAAATAATATTTATATATGAAGGTACAAAAGAGGAAAACTTTGATTTGTGTTTGTATGAGGAAGCAGAGACCTAAATAATGAAATAGTAAAATAACCCCAAAACATACAGAAAACCCACGTTTCCCTCAGACTGTTATGTTACTACTTATATTTTATTTCATGTTCTATAGATGTTGCATGATGTGAATATCTTGACTTTCCCTCGGGATAAATAAAGTATCTATCTATCTGTCGATATGCACTGAACATGAGTGTTTGTTACCATGTGAATATTCACAGATTGCTTAAATTAACAGATTTTTTTTTGTCATGCATAAAACAATATGATTAAAATACACTGAGACAAAACAAAACTCCCATTTGCAAGTTTTCCGTTGAAAGAAATGGAAAAACACAATTATCATAGAAATATATAATTTAAAAAAATAAGTGATTGTAATAATGACACATACTGAGACACATGACATAACAGAGAAAAACTACACAATATGATAAATACATTATAATATAAATAATATATAAATGATGAATGGTGCTGTGGACTTGCACATTTGGTTGTAGTTGTAAAAAAAGTATTCAGATCTTTTTTAAGTAGCAATACTACAGTGTCAAAATACTAATAAAAAAAATTACAAATAGTCCAGCATTCAAATTATGAGTAGTAAAAAATATATAATTATAACATTATAATAACAATACATACATATATACACACACACACACATTTATATCAACTAAAAAGTACAATATATACTTTTCAACTTTTACTTAAGTCTTAATGAATTACAATTAAAATGAATAATTAATAATATACATATTATAATAATTCATACGTTAATATGTATCTATTTAATGTTGCAGATGGTAAAGGTGGAACTAAACTGAATGACTTTATATGTTTAACCAATAAACAACAATAATCAAGCACTGGATTTGACCATGCACCTTAAGACACTTACCCAATGCTCGTTATTTTGCTATTTATTCTAATTGTTTTTAGTAGTTCTTTCGCATTTGACCTCCTGTTGTTGTTGTTGTTATTATTGTTATTATTATCAGTCGGTGGATACTGCTGGAAACTGTGAATAAAGTATCTAATCTAATCTAATCTAATCTAATCTGATCTAATCTAATATTTCTAATTTATGTTTTGTATTAATAGTCTAAATCTGTTAACTAGTAGTAGCTGTAAGTCGTTTTAATGCCTTGGTCCCCGCTTTTAAACCAGTGAGTGACTCCTCTTCTCCCCAGCAGAGACGATCTTCGGCTCTGACGTTACACCAGAGCTGGGGCAGGAATCCCACAATAGCAGGCAGAGAGGATTTTTTTTATTTTTTTTTCTCGAGGCAGAGCTGGGCTGGTGGCTGCTTCAATCAAAGGGAAAAAGGCAGAGGGGAAGGAGAGGCTCTGCGGAGAGATGTAAAGATGGCAGAGCTACAAATGTTGTTAGAGGAAGAGATTCCGGCCGGTAAAAGAGCGCTTGTAGAGAGTTACCAGAACCTCACCAGAGTAGCAGACTACTGCGAGAACAATTATGTCCAGGTAAGTGTTGAGTCTGTCCGCCCTTTACCGCGGTTGTCTTCAAGCTCCCTCTTTTTGTCGCGGAAAGCTCGGGATTGAATGGTTGTGTTGGGACAGGAAATGTGGATAAAGAAACTGGGCTCGGTTATGAAATGAAGCCCTCTCCGCCTTAAAAGCTTGGAGTAACAGTTTTGGATGTTTTTTTTGTGGCTAGTTTTTGTTTTGTTTACGAATGTGGGGCATTATTTCAGCTGGTATCTGTTCACACCATTGACCACATTTTATTCCGTTTACACAGAGGGTGTGTCTACTTTAAAATATATATATATATATATATTATTACACTGGGTGGCTTCAAAAGGCTTATTTATTTTTTTTTAGTATAGGACAAATAAATAAAGTTAGTGCACTTTCTTCGCTTTAATTGATGCTGACACTGCATTACAATGTAGAACTATAGGAAGTGTGGGCAACTAGATGTCACAGCGAAACTATAAGTCCGTGAATATTATAGTAACAGCGGTGCTTTACATTCCATAAGGTCATTAAACACACCATTTAATACCACAAACCCAGTTTAAGCCCCCACTGGGGTGCTACAGTGGAGGTATAGGGTCTGCATTATGGAGTTGTGAGCACTCAGCAGAGGCCATCATGTCAGTGGCATGGCTTTTTATTGTTGCTGCATGTTTTAAGACAACTTTTAATGTCACATTAAAAGCATAATACGTGCATTGGAAGGCAGGTTGCGTTGGGCCAGATGTGATGCAGATGCGGGGTTTTTTTTATTTTTATTTAAGATCATTTAGATGTGTTTGCAAAGCTTTGCATCGAGGCTGTGAGACAGGAGGAGGAATGTAAAGCAATTGTTAGTAGGTCAATAAAGGTTGGAGGTATTGATTTTTCTCCCCTTCCAACTTATTCATGGGAACAAAGCTTGTTTTAATCTCTGCTGGCCTGTATGGGGCTCCACATCTGTCCCCTTTTTTAAAGTTTAAAGTTTTCTTCTTGATAAAGTGGCTTATTTTTGTTGTGTTTTTTTATTTTTTATTTGGTGATGTTGTAAAAAAGCTCCTGAATTTATCCTGATGTGTGTACAGAGTCTGCTCGTTTTATTACGGTGACCACAGATTGCTTTGTCTTGTTTTTAATTTAATTTTAGCACGATAATATATGTGGTAAGCCGCAAGCTATAAGAGAAAAAAGAAAGTCAGAGCTTTTGTCTTTTGAGAACAAATTGAGTGACAGACCAGCGGTGGCGGTGAGAAAACCTTTTTCAGCAGGAAGACCAGCCACCATATCAGCTTCAGAGGGTGTGTCCGCTCCAGCTGTACTCCCCAAGGACTCCCTGTAATTTTGTTTTCTTCCTCGTCCTCGGATGATTTGGCATGGCGAGGCACGGCTCTGAAGCTTTGTGCCAGTTATAGCCTGTCAGGCAAAACACTGCAGGTCTTTTCCCGCCGCTCTCTTTTTAAAAAAGCCAGACTTTTTGTGCAGTTGTGTATCAGGATAGTTGACAAAATGCTGGGGGACTTTTGAATGCAGGAATTTCCTTGTTATGGATTTAGTTTACCACAGACAGCTGTAACATGAGATTTCCCACACTTACACAACACTGAGGCTTGTAATAAAAGCAGAAACAATGTGTGTTAACTTGTGTTGGGGAATTTTCTTTACTTTCAAATTGGTTTTTCAGCGGCGTGACGGTATTTTGGATCAAATGAGCAACTTCTGAAGGCCTGTAATGACATCTTTTAGTCGAAACCGCAGTGAATAATAGTCCATATTTTTTTGCTGAACTGCAGTTTCTGTTAAATTCAAGCATCTTCCTACCACAGTGACTGGACTTCAGTGTTTTGCAGGGCTGGGTATCGAACCTGCATACTGACAAGTCGGCGTCAGATTTTTATTTATTTTTAAAGATACATTTTGAGAATGTTAAATTCTTTTGTATTAATTATTGGGAAAAAATCTTCTTCTGAAAGTAAGGTGTAGAAAAATGTATGATTTTGGTAGCGTTACCAAAACTTGGGTACAGTATTGGCATTATTTTTTAGGTTATGATGTTTAATTCCCTATATTTTCTTCAGTTTTATGCAGATTTTACTGCCTTAACATTTGACTATTTTCATAGTATTGAACCTAATGTTGGCCAATGTTGGAATCCAATGCCCGGTATGATTTGTATTCTTGTTATTTATTCAGATAGTTTCTGATTTAAAGCATAAAAAAAAACTACTGTATCCACACAATGTTTTAAATTTACAACAATACCCAGCAGGAGTTTTAAAGACCGATACAGACGGTGTTTGATTGCCCGTATTTGCTGACATTTTTTCTACAGTAAGTGCATTTAAAGTCAATAGCTACATAAATGTCATCAAACCGATGTGCATCCTTTTCAAACAAACAACTGAAAGTGGTTTTAGAGTGCTGGAGTATTTCCCCCCCCTAAGAAATTGGGTGCTAACGTTGGGTGTCAAGGTGTAGTCTGAAAACGTGGGTTTAGTGTCTTTAAATCTGACCCAACATAGACTCCAAAAATAGTATTTAAATCATCACGGGGCTAAAAATCTCCCCTGAGAACCAAATTAATGAGCCGGTGAAATCTGCAAAGAAAATGCACAAGAATAACTTTCACGCTGCTGTGGATGAAGAGTACAGTAGGGATGGATGATACAGTATTTGATCTAACTGTTATGTAACTTTAACCCCTCTGAAAAGTTGTGTGTCGTGTGTCTGAGCGCGTTGCCGTTCTCAGTCCTTGTGTTTTAGCAGAGCACCTTGTTGTAAAGGGCTGACGCAAAAAAAGCGGGATTTGATTTGAAGCTTTACAGCGCACGTCGCTCGCTCTGTGTGAAGCGAGTGTCGGACTAACAGTGCACTTTTCATAAGCCCTCTCTGTCTGCGGGAGATAGAAACACACACACACACACACACACGCTCAGAAAATTGTGCACTGCGAACCGAACCGCACACATATCAACATGCCTCAGCTTGAATCAGCTCGTCCTTTCAGCACTCCTCCCTCACATTTCCATCCCTCCTTCTTCTTCTCCCTCTCCCTCTCCCTCTCTCTCTCTCTCTCTCTCTGTTCTTGTCATGGAGGCTTTGGTGTTGTGGACTGTGGTGCAGCTCAGCAGGGTGAAGCAGATGGTGAAAGCTCTGTGTAACCAGGGACAGATCACTGCCCCACTTTCTCTACTTGATAGTGACTTTTGTTTTGTTCGAGGGAGTGTTTTTGAACTGTGTGTGTGTGTGTGTGTGTGTGTGTGTGTGTGTGTGTGTGTGTGTGTTGTATATGACACACTGACAGGTCAGAGTTATGTTTCCTGTTTGCTCCACTGACTCTTGCCGACTAGCTCCCTGGAAATGCCTTCGCTCTGTGTCAGGAAGTGGCTTAATAATAGAGCCCCAAAAAAACACCCTTTCACATTAAGATGCACAGACATCTTAATAAATAATCTGCTGTGTTTGTATTTTAATATTTTCCTGTTTGTTCTAGCTAAGTAAAGGGGGGAAAAAAGAGATCCTTGCACAATGCTCGCTACCCTCTTGAAAAATACTTTGCTTCCATTTTTTGAGCACCGTGTTTGTTTAACCTCTGTGACAAGCACGCATACACTGTATGCAAAGCGGGCCACCTGGCCGTGTTGGCAGGGCGCTCTGGAAGGGCAGTTCAGTTGTGATCGAGCTGTATTTGATGTTCCTGGAGCTGAGACAATTGACAGAAAATCAAATCGGCATCTGTTTTGGAAATTTAACAGCAGTTTTAGTTTTATTTTTCAAACGGCTTCTCAATTTTGCAGCCTTTTTAGTGTCGTTTGATTTAGTTAATTAAATATCTATGGATTTTCCGATGATTGTTGGAACGAGCCATTTGAAGATGTCCCCATGGGCTCTGAGAAATATCACTTTTTTCTACCGTACATAGACAAAACAATTAATTGATTAAATAATCTGTAGGATTGATTGATTGTCGCAGCTCTAGATACTCCACTCTCGGCACTGACAGGCCAAATTGTGTGTTGGCACCCAAAGCGTGCTCAGATTTGAGAGATAAATTAGACTTTTTTTGACTTTGTGGCTACTTTTAATGTCATAATATTAAGAAAAATCATGAAAAAAATATGGAAGCATACAGTATTTGGTGGTATTCTTGATAAATGATTCATCGATTATTGAAGTGAAGGCCAGTTAATCTTCGTTCGAACAACTAATCGATTATTGACTATGACAATGGAGCAATTAACATAATACATCTTTTCACTTCCCATTAACAAAACCCACTGGTAAAATATTTCTCAGAAATTGGTTGCACTGTCGTTACCAGGAATTCTGGAGGGGAAGGTTTGTAAATAAACAGTAAAAAGGAATACGGAAATGGAAGTAAGATGTTGTGTGGCAAGAGGTCAGATCGGATCCAGTGTTGCAAGCTCAGGGTCATGTGACCCTGCCTGCTGAGCCAGCACGATGCCCACTTGTGATTTGACTTGGTACTGTAAACTGTCAGTTTTTAATGTGGGCTGTTCTGTAGCATGACAGAGGAGAGGAGTTTGGCACAAAGGGAGAGACAGATGTCCTCTTTGTGTCCTGGTCATATAACCTTGGTGCACCTGTCCTGTGCTGTGACTTTCTCTCCTGGAAGAGAGCAGGTTGCAAATATTGTGGGATGTTTTTAACACAGTTCTGTCTCTCCGGGTTACTCCGAGTCCTCATTTCCTGTCCTTCTTTCTTTGACTTTCTCTCTCTCTCTCTCTCTCTCTCTCTCTCTCTCTCTCTCTCTCTCTTTGCGGAGTGGCCTGGTTTTTCTCCCAGCATGGAGAGGCCTAGCGGCCCTCAGCCTACCAGCCATTCATCCTTTTTGACCACCTGTCACTCCTCCCCCTCAGCTGACTGGGGATGGTTTGGTCCAGACTGTTGGACTGATCTGCTACATTCTGGTTAGAGTGTAGGAGTTTCGGAAAAATTGGGAGCACACATTTCAGACTGACATTTTCTGCTTGCAGTTGGGTTCAGAT